GTGGTGTATTCGAGTTAAAACAAAAATTGGAAAATTGATAAATTTAAACAACACATAAGTTGAGCTAAGAGCCCACACTTATGATGAGTGACTGAATGAACGAGTAATGGCTTGAGGAGACACTGTGGTTCGCAGAAAACACGAGGCAGGAAAAAGCAGTTTTAAGACGGTCTCTTAAATTCCCGATGATCCTTTCTCGAAGCCATGGAGGAACCATAATACGCGTGAGGATCATCAGGGGCACCGCCTGTAACCATTTAATTGTACGTACATTCACATACAAAGTCAAAATACAGAAAAATATACATACCACTGGACTGAATGTGAAACTGCTAACTGTATTCGAAGTAAAATAAACAGCTGAAACGAAAATTTGAATCAGGCAGAAAACACACAGTTGACGGTCCATCTATCATATTATGCTATGAAAATACCTTCAAACTAAGTACTCACCGTCTTATTATAAAACTCTGCAATGCACATCTAAACAATTGCATAGCAAGATATGATCTCGTTTGTAGATTCACACTACTAATAACAAAACCACTTTGATATCCACTTGAATAACCACTGGATACCCTAAATATTTAGGCACGCACTCCGAAAACCATAAAAATCTTCTTGTCAGGAAGAGGTATCGGATAAAAAATTCTCTTTGTATAAGGTAGGAATCTTGATAAATTTCTGTGCACTGATGTAGAGAAACTAACAGCAAGCCCTGTGGTGGTTGTAAGCGATAAATAAACGCAACTCTTATATTGCTAGTCATTATAGAAGTTCGGCCAAATTTGGATGCAAACCTCTTTCCCAGAATATATATGAAATCATATTATGTACGCCATGCATGTCTGGAAAACTGGGCAAGAGTAACTTTAAGGCGTCTCGAAAGAGTCAAAATACGGACCACCAAACTGAATATGATGTAACCCTTGCTAACATGTAAGTGCAACCAAACTTAAAAACACAAACCCCTCTCCTCTGAGTTACAGGAAAATGCACAGGACCTCTAAAGCATTCCGCATTACGAACAGAAGGAAATGCGGCTTGGACTTTGCTTACCTCCTTGAGTTTGAACATATACCCGACCAAGAGAAAACGAATGCACAGATAGATCAGGATCGTAAACAATGGTCCCGGTCAACAAAAGCGCGACGAAACAGACTAACTATAAGGAAAGTCTGATTCGCACAATGTCGGCAATAGCGTATAGAAACATACGACACCTAATGCGAGCTCTGCATGCAAGCAATCAAGATCTGGACGCAGTTAGTAAACATCATTATTTAAAGATCCAAAACACAAGCAACTGCGGCGAACTCTCTTTTTCTTGCGTAAAAGCTGCCAGTTACTATAGTTTGCACCGTTTTATGCTCTTTTGTACGTTAGTGTAGCAATAATAAGCCAAGGCAATCATATGACGTTTATTAAAATTTTTTAGAAATTTACACACAGCGAGTGGGAATATGCTTAATATTATAGCAGCCATAATCATATCATATATGTTCTACTGAAATGTCCTTTCTACTTAGCTAACTGAATCTCCCTAATTATCGGGGTTTCATTTTGTTTGCGAGCTGGCCATACCACCCTTTCTCCCTATTTCAATGAGTTCCCGGTGTTTTCCGTTTTAAAATTGTATCGCAATAATAGCGTTAGTATAAGACTCTGGTCACGTGTTCTGTCTTGGTAACTTTGGACAGAGAGTCATTGAAGTAAGCAACTTATGTATGGGTTCCACATTTTAATTGCAGCCAACTCTATATATATTCGAAGCTTCTTATTTATGCAAATCCATAAGAGGTACAAAATAGTCTATCGGAGGAGTGGGTGGACAAATTCTAAAATAGAGGTATCGGTAATTTCTTTTACTGCATCAATATACAGCTTTGGCGGGGCGGTACATACGAAGGCCGCCGAAATGAGTTGCTTTCCGTATTCTGGCAAACTTTTAAAGGGCGATAATGGTCAAGACTCCCTAACTCAGGTCTGTTGAGTTTCAATTCACTCCACTAATATTCAATTTCTTCTTGTTTTAACACCATTTTGACTGCCCTCTGATGTGTAAAATTAAGAGGAATCCTATTCCAATTCAATTATAATTGAAATATTAATAGTATATATTTCACTAGTAGTAGATACCATGGTCCAGCTATTCGCATTTGACGTAAGAGCATTGCTGCATATGTAATTAGTAGAAAAGGCACGGTATCTGTGAGGCCTTTTTCCATTGCAGCTTTCTTCGGTACGCACCATTGATACGGCCATCTAGGAAACTGCATATTATTTAGCTTACTAACCGAGCTGCATCGCCAGTTGCGCAGCCGAAATGATGCTACGTGCTACAGAACGCATGTACTACTAACTTTGATGTTCAGGGGAGGAGTCAAATTTTATGTGGAGGCCTTTGGCTCTTTTTAAGACAGCGCTTTCGAAGTGTCGAGAGCGCTCTCTGGGAAACGCATCTCTCGATTACCGGTGCTCATGCAGGTTAGAACCGATTTCATGAATTTCTCGAGGATAACAAGTATGGCTCCTTTGAAAGCTTGACTATTTTATGGGCCATTTCATACGTTTGGGTTAAAGCAGTAATTTTCTGCCCATGCCCTAGCGTAGGAAATCGACGTCTGCGGTAATGCCACTCTGGCTTGAATGGCGAATCGTGTGTACAAGCGTACCTGTCACGTTTTATATTTTTTCTGTGATCTCTTTATCACGGGTAAGGTATGATGCCGCATATATAAGACGTATTTAAATTGCTGCCGGGCAAGCGTAGTACATATTTCCTTCGCGCAATACCTGCGTCTACTTGCGGATCGCTTTCACACTCATGAGTACTCTGATAGTCTCCACTTGCTTGATCTTCCTGGATAGAACTGGGTCTTTTGTTGGTCTTACAATTTTATTATCCAAAATTAGGATACATGTGTTAGCTCAGTTGGGTCATTCGCACAAATAGAGAGGAGTAGTGGCCCAAGCTCTAGCTTTAGAATAATTGCTCAGTTAATTAAGTTTTTCGAACACGTATGGGAAAATCCTGCATTCAAATGAACTTTGTTCCACGTTGAAAGTGATTATTGACGGACTTAACTCAGGCCTGAAGCTATTCTTTGCATGATTGATCTCATTTTTTAAACTGTTGCCTTGTACCTTCTTTGCTCTCAGTTGTTAGAATCTGTAAATGAGTATCGTTTTGATGATGATCCGAAAAATCGCACCCCTGCTCCACCGATCCGGACAACTAGTAAGAACGCCGTCGGGTAGGTTTAACATTTAACTAATCGAATGCTTCTGGTAGGTACGCAACCGATAGGTCGTTTGACCTTTCGAAACCCCTGCCTCCAACGCCTGCACCTGACGACCGGTTGGATAAGAAAAAGAAAAAGGGTTTTGCAATTGAGGCACTTTGATTATATTATTTTACAGGACGATCTGGCAAACAACTTGGTCAGGAGATTCCCGATATGTCCTTTCCAGAGAATGTTAAACATCAAGTTCACATTACTGTAGATCCAACGACTGGCGAATTTACGGTATGTAACCTTCCTAATGCACATATATTTCAACTATAGGGTATGCCAGAGGAATGGGCTGCACTATTGAGCAGGGCCGGAATTTCTAAGTTGGAGCAACAGCAAAATTTAGGTTCAGTTCTCCGTGTGCTTGATTTCTATGCGTCCACTGGCCAGCCACGACAAAAGTACATGACTGATATGTCAGATCACACCAGTAAGTACAAATGTTCGTGCGTTTTTTTCTTGAAAATTCTATGGAGTTATATTTTTTGGTTAGTAAACCCTAACTCCATTGTTTTATTACGAATAATATTTGCTAATTAAAAAAGGTTTAACCTAACCATTTTCTCCTCGATGTGATATTTCTATTTAAGTTTTTGTATTTTCTTCGGGATTAATTCCCTACGTATTTTGATCTCAAATTGTGGTTAAAAGGGAGATTTAAATTTCAGTTGTAGCAAACTAGCTAGGTTGCCGTGTTTGAGAGTATGCGTTGCCTAAAATTCATGATCCGCGTACATCCGCGGCCATTTGCTAGATATTTATATTTGTGTGATGCCTGTTGTCGGTTGCAAGCTATTCAGCATCGTTACATGGTGGTGTTTTCGAACAAAAACAGTCACAGGGACCCCGATTTATGCTTCGGCTATATGTCCCCTAGTCCGTTAGCCATTAAAATCGACATCTTGCTAATTGTCCTCGTGTTGAGCAGTTTACTCTTACA